AGCCCAGCTCTAAGTTGGAGGCATCTTCATGGAGGATTTTAACACAAAAATCTAGAAAGCTGTATTCCCGACCGCCTGCTATTGAGAAATCCTGGCAGACAGCATGCGTTTCATCATCCAATTTACTTAATACCAGCTATCAAATCATTTAATGTTATCGAGAGCCACAGTTTATTGACACATAAGTAATTCATTGTAATTGCTACGCCAGGATTTAAAGCTGAACTCCAGCCTTCCCTTCAGACATGCACAGTTGTACCGACTCCTCTCCTGTACTGAAATTGATAACTCTGATTTCACTGCACACTGTGAGCTTTTCATAACATGCATTAGAAGCTGCAGCAAGTCACACAGAGGCTGCCTCATTTCCAGGCTGAAGGACATCCAGCATCATCCAAGGCTTTCCTCCCACTCTGACTGTATCTGGTGTGTCCCTTTCATTTGTTGGATTTGGGTTCTTTAAATCATGGAGGTTCAGCATCACATGTAGGTGTTGGCTCCAGACTGAAATCTACCCACAAATGCACCTTACTATTTGCATAATTCCTCCCAAGAACCAGCTCACTGCTTGAATCAAGAATGATGGATCTTGAGAGAAGTATTGAGGCAAGGCACTCTGATGTTTTCAGAAAGCTATGTTTAGCACCCTACCAACCCCATGATCTGCCTGCATTGAATAGAGACACACAGAGACCCTGTGATGAAATCATTGGGTATGGAATAACATATAACAAATACTGAAAGATTATATTTACAAATGTCATTAGCATATTAATGGAGAAAAGATATCAGGGAAGGCAAATGATACACAGACTAAATTTCAGCTTAAAAAATTGTTTCATTCACAGGGAGACACTATTGGTCACTGTAACCTTTGCCTCCTATTAGAATGCAAGCTCTTCAGAACAGTGAACATCTGAGGCTTGTTAATTTCAACATTCATTATGCCTTTCTCCATCATGTTAAATGTATGAATCTACAACCTCTTAGGTGTTGCTGACTCTCAGGAGCAGTAATACCAGTTTAAGCGGACCTCTCAAGAATTTTGCAAGTCTGTATGAATAAGTTCCTGACATGTCCCCACATACAGCAGTGTCATTGTTCTACCTTTTATCATTAAAAAGCTTTTGTTAGGCCCCTTTCACATGGGGCAGATTCTGTTCAGATCAGCAGGGAATCCGCTCCCATATCGCCTGCTCATCAGAGCAGAGGCAGCAAGGGCCCTGTTCCTTGGAGCTTACAATCTAAGAGGGAGGGGCTAGTGATACAAAAGGTAGTAACTGTGGGGGATGGACTGGTAGGAGGAGTAGAAGATTCCATTATTAGCTGAGGGCAGGATAGGCTTCCCTGAAGAGATAGGTTTTCAGAGATTGTCTAAAAGTGGGCAGAATAGGCGATAGACAGATAGATTGGGGTAGAGAGTTCCAGAGGAAGGGGGAAGCTCTGGAGAAGTCCTGGAGACGAGCACGGGGAGGAGGAGACAAGGGAGCTAGAGAGTAGGAGGTCATGCGAGGAGCGGAGAGTATGGTTTTGGTGATATTTGGAGACAAGATCAGTGATGTAAATAGGGGCAGAGTTATAAATGGCTTTCATGTTATGTTATTGTTATTGTTTTGAATTTTATCTGGAAGCCAGTGGAGGGATTGGCAGAGAGGGATGGCTGATACAGAACGGTTAGTAAGGTGGATGAGTCTGGCAGCAGTATTCATGATAGACTGAAGAGAGATAGCCTGCGATTAGGTAGGCCAATGAGGAGGGAGTTACAATAGTCAAGACGACATATAACAAGGGAGTGAATAAGTTGCTTAGTGGTTTCCGAGGTTAGGAACAGCCGCATCTTGGAGATGTTGCGGAGGTGAAGTCTACATGATTTGGACACTGATTGGATTTGGCTCTATACTTTCGAACATGGAAACAAAGCCTTTGCTTTGAATATACTTTAGCCACTTTAGCAAATTTAACGTAGGAGATACGTTCTAAGAAACTCTAACAACATTTATTGGGTACATCATAACTGCTTCCCCCCTGCCGCTGCTGCCCGCTTTGCCATTATTACAGAAAAAATTATCGGGCGTCAAAGTGACAGTTGAGAATTGTTTTGTAATGCACAACAGGAGCTGTTGGCAAAGGCAGCCATTCCTATATGCACTGACACTAGCCGCTTGTCCACATGCAGGGAACACTGCAAACAGACAGGTATAAGTGTAGGTTATTGGAGAAAAGACATTGCATGTCTCTTCTGCAATAAAAAAACTTCCCTGTTTGCAGTGAATAACAGCAGAGATTTAGTTCAGCTTTAAACCCCCATCACATTTGGCAGGCAGTACTACCTGCTGTATGCAACCTATTCAAGTGAATTGGGCTGCACTACAACCGCATACAATGCACAAAGTTGCAGCACAATGGTGAAGGGGTTAAGAGGTAAAACAGGCAGTGAAGAGGCAACATAACACCTCAAATGCCCTCTGAAAAGTGATCCACCTTGGATCTCTGTTCAGAGCACTGATGCTAGTGTAAACAAGCCCCTAGTAAATTCCCCCGAACGTCCGTGATTATGTACTGTATACAGTAAAGAATATCTTACAGAAGCAGATCATAAAATGATCATTTAGTACAGTACTGCAGAGCAATGAACAAGATATATAATTACATAAGAAATCATGATTTTTAAATCCACTATGGACTAAAAATATAAAAACAGATAATATAATAAAAGATAATAAAATGAAATACTCTACAGGGAGGTAGATAAACGCAACCACTAAAATCTTCTATCTTCCACTCAAAATCGGAAGCTCTGCTTATTTGCCTCCCCCCTCCACTGGCATATTTGGCACCTTTTGGGGGGGAGGGGGTACCTGGTTTTGACAGGCACCCGCTCCCACTTCCGGCTCAGTTCGCCGCAGCGAAGTGAGCCAGAGTTCAGCCCCCTCCTTCCTCCCGCAGTCTCCTGGGAACTTTCACAGGTCCCAGAAGACTGCTGCCCAATCTGCGGGTGCGGCTCAACTTGCGCATGCACAGTGGGCACCTGGTTGTGAAGCCGCAAGCTGTCACAGCCTGGTGCCCACAGTAGAAATGCCAGCGCCGTGGAGGACAGAAGGAGAGAAGGGACAGCGCAGGTGAGTACATCGCTGGACCCTGGGACAAGTAAGTGTGTGTTTATTAAAAAATCAGCAGCTACTGACTTTTTAATAAATACAAAAACGTCTGGAACTCCGCTTTAAAGCAGAAGTGTAAGTCTGGGCTAAATGGAATCTAATCATAAAGTGGAACTTTCATCAGAATATTAAGTCCTGCTAGATCTCTTCAGGTTGGCCCCTTCTGCAGGTATAGCTATGTACAATATTAAAAGTAAGTGCCTATACTGTTTAAAATCCAGTAATACACACTCACCCTGCTCTGCACATGCTCAGATGCTCTCTAGTTTTAGGCACAGTGCCTGAATTTGTAGAGGCTGATCTGCCGACAGCCTGAAGATTTACTGCTGCTCGGGGGCTTTGGGCTTCAGCAAAATATTATAGGTAAAGTTGATCCAGGGAATATCCGATTGCCTCTCGGGGGATCAGGAAGGAAAGTTTTTTCCCTGCAGGAGCAAATTGGATCATGCTTTGCTGGACTTTTTGCCTTCCTCTGGATCAACTGTGGGTATAGGATTATAACTTTTTTTTTATGGTTGAACTAGATGGACTTTTGTCTTTTTTTTTTCAGCCAGACGAACTATGTAACTTTAAGATTAGCGAGGTTCAGCCTGGGCTTCCACTGTAATGGTTTCACAAAACAATTAAATTCAAGGCATGCCATTAATAATTACTGCCACAGTTGCTTGTGCTCTCAGCCAAACTGTCAAGCCATCTAATGGCTGTTGTCATAATTGATCACATGTTCAGCACCATGGCAACTGCAGATCAAACAGAAGATAGGATGGCAGCTTCCTTATATATATATAGGAGGGTTTTGTTCCACTTTACCATGGTACTGTCCAGTGGCGGACTGAAAACTCATGGGGCCCCCGGGCAATAGGGGACCATGGGGCCCCGTGTCCTTGCCCAAACTCAAAAATCCCTATGAAAAAGGTACCAGGGGCATGGGGCCCCCTACTGACCCCGGGCCCTCGGGCAGTGCCCGAGTTTCCAAATGGTCAGTCCGCCCGTTACTGTCATTTTAATAGTCATTTTCAATCTTTTTAAATCTGCAGCTTTCAATCAAATGATCCCTGGTGATCCTGCCATGAATACTCTTGTTCGGGCACTTCCTGTTATAGGGTGACAACACTACTCCTGGCTTTTAATTGTGCTCCTGTGTTGTCACCTCTTCACAAGGGCTTTCAGTGGAGGCTACAAGTTGCGGGCTGTTGTCATAATCAGGAAAGCCACCCTGAGAAATAGCATGTAGCCATCAGTGGAGTGCATGTAGACAGAATGTGGCTGCAAGGAGGCTGCGAGAGAACAGCAGCACTGATGGAACAAAGGATGACAGAAGTGATATTAGGGATTTATTTTTATGACAAATATGGTATTCAGGGCACAGGACAAATGTTATGTATTGCGGATTACACCGTGTACTGTACTGTGGAAGCAGCTCACCGAACAGGTGACGTGTGATCGGTCACATCCTAGAATACATTATAATTCCGAGCTATTGTCCCCTGCAGTGTGGGCGGGGTGGGGCGTGTCCAACACAATCCACCTTGACTGGTGGGCGGGAAGGACCGCGTCCTGCTCACCGGGGTGGGGCGTGTCCAGCGACCAGTAAGCCTTGTGGGGCGTGTCGTGCATTAAACCTCCTTGGCGTACTGGGCGGGACTAGGTGTGTGATTACCTGCGGTGTGGGCGGAGAGGGACGTGACCAAAAGCGGTGCCCTGCGCAAGAAAGGAGGAGCGCTGCGCACCGACCGCTCGCCATGGCAACTCTACTCTCTTCCTGGTTGCTATGACAACGCCCTTCGCTGCTCAGCTCTCCGCCCTGCTCGGCGCTCCCTTGCTCGGGCCTGGCTGGGGAAGATGGCGACCTCCGGTGGCAGTGGCGCTCTGGGCCGGGGTCTGGACATCAGTCTGGCCGCCCTACGCAGGCAGGACCCGTACATCCAGAGCATCGTGGACGTGGCCAGCCAGGTGGCCCTCTACACCTTTAGCCACCGGGCCAACGAGTGGGTGAGTCACCCGCAGGGGGGGGCTGAGCTCCAGTCAGAGGGGCTCCTACATCGTCTCCTGCAGAGCAGTAACCATGGCAACCAGAGTCCATCCTGTGTTGCAGTAAAGTGAGTTCTTGGTGGTTGCCATAGTCACTGCTGTGCATTGGCTCCTCAGTACACCTAGTATGACACAGACTGAATATGTAGATTACTGAGGGAACTTGGGGCCTTTCACACAGGTGCGCTTTGGACGCACGGGAACGCACCATTCTAGCGTTACAAACGCGCATGAAATGAATTCCCCTTCAAATCCTGTGTACCGGTTCACATTAGTGGGCCGCGTGTTTGTGTGGTGTTTTGAAAATGCCTGCATCTTTCATGTGTTTTTCAAAAGTGCACCAATAACGCACCTTCCTTTGTAATTCAATGGGAACGCATCAAAAACGCACTTCCCATTGTAATTTAATGAGAACACACATTTGGTGCCTCGTTGGGGTTTTTCTTTTGCGTCACATGTCCAAGTTTCACAGGTGCATGCTTGGGAGTCAGGAATCCAGAAAAAGCACAAAAAACCGCAATTTGATTTAGCAAAACACTGCATTTTTACCATTTGTGAAAAGGCCCTTCAGGCCCATTGACATTTGGGAGCTGTAAAAGGTCCTATGCAGTTTAAAACGCATATCTGTATTAGAGCTTTGTGTATAACTAAAGGGAAACTTTTTATTTAGTTTTGGTCATAGTAGAGAGGGATTAGACCCCGTCAGTTTATATTGCTGTCTGTCCCCCCCTTAGAGAGATTCCCCCTCTCTGTTTGTCCTGTTTGCTATTATAAGTGAAAGTAAAAGAAAATCACAAATTTTGGATTGTCCCCAGAAAAGTAATAGAAGGGAAATCATCCACTGGGGACACTAGCTCTGGTGGTCCCCAAGGAATTCCTGTAATTTGCAGGGATTTCCTCCAACTTCCCGTTTGGCTATGGGACAGGAAGTGAAGAGAAATCTCATCAATCGGACACAGATGGCGGAAAAAAAAATATCTAACAGATAACCCTCCCTTGCTCTATCCAAAATGTGGGGGAAAAAGGTCTGTCTATAGTTCTATTCCAAAATACAACACATAGTGCATTTCACATGCATTTTCCTCCCTGGTCACCTGGGAAAAATGGACATGAGACTCCAAAAACACACTTAGCCTGGGTTTACATGCAGGGCAAATTCAGTAAGTTTTCTAGTGCTATTCACCCCTGGTTCACATATGTGTTTTTTGGATGCATTTTTGAACTGTCTGAATTCAGATGACAGTGTATTGAACTGCAGAATCAGATTGCACTGCCCAGAACACTCACCTGACCCTTTTTGCAAAACGCAGTGCAGCTCAACTACATGTGTCTGAACACCCTCTATAGGAACACTTTTCAATACACTGTCATCCAAATTCGGACAGTTCAAACCTCATATATGTGAACAAGGCTTAAAAAAAGTGCAGTATGTTTTTGGTACATTTCCATTGACTTTTAATGGAAGGTGTGTTTTTTTACACAGCACACTGATGATGTAGCAAGCAGGACTTTCGAAAAGCGCACAGATATTAACAGTTACATGGGATTTTAAGGGAACTATTTTACATGTGCTTTTCACATGCCGGGAAGGTGCTATACAGTGCAACAAAAGTGCAGAGTGTGAACAGGGCCTTAGTAACAAAGGAATTAAAGGTGCTTTATCAGAGTCTGACTCTGCAGCTTGAGTGTGAGAGTCAGCTGCCTGTCTCCCAGCTCCTGTGAATGCATCAGCTAAGAAAAATATGCAACCATCCATCATACTGCTGTGCACACTGAGGAGTCAGGAGTGTGTGAAATCTGAGGAGCTTGCATTCTAATGTCCCCCCACCACAGTCACACACTATTATTTATTATTATTGTACATTTTTATATAGCTGTGACATATTCTGCAGTGCTGTACAGAAAACACAGAGCCAGTCATATCCGTCTCTGCACCAGAGGAGCTTACACTCCAATGTTCCACCACAGTCACATACTATTATTATTATACAGTATTTATAAAGCGCCTATCATTCGCTCAGCGCTGTACATTACAAAGGGGGACAGAACATATGACATAACAATACAATGCAAAACATGAGGGGATTGAGGGCCCTGCTCTTTCGAGCTTACAATCTAGGAGGGAGGGGATAGCTGTGGGGGATGGAGTGGTAGGAAGAGTGGATATTTCCACTCTTATATATCACATTTATATATCTCTGACATATTCTGCAGTGCTGTACAGAGAACACTGAGCCAGTCACATCAGTCTCTGCAACAGAGGAGCTTGCACTCCAATGTCCCTAGTGTCCACTACAGTCACACTCTATTATTATTATACATTTATATAGCTCTGACATACTCTGCAGCGCTGTACAGAGAGCATTGAGCCAGTCACATTAGACTGCACTGAAGGAGCTTACACTCTGATGTCCTCACCACAGTCACACAAAAAACCTGGGATGATAGAAGACCTCCAGGATCTCTCCAGCACTCTTCCATGTGTGAGGGATCAGGTCACTCATCTGAGAGCTGACTGCAAAATAAAATGACAGATGACATCAGTGTAGATGAGCTAAGCTCTACTACAATGGTGCCCCCTGCTGTTCACATCACAGAAGAAGTGACAGGTTTTTATGACGCACAAAACAAACAAAACGTCATCCAGTGCAGGTTTACCTTTGTTTTAAATACTAATCTTTCCAAAAGATATTACAGTTAGCCTTGGTAAGTCTTGAAGGGTTTACCAGCTCAACAGATACTGTAGAATACATCAAAGTTTGTTAAATTCCAAATGTAGGCTAGGCTTTTTGGTTTTTTTTTTTTTCATAGGAAATGTTCCTCCTCCCATATTCCTCCTAGTCCTCAATGTGCAAATTCACTTCCAATCCAGAGCTGCTCCCCTCCCCCGTATTATGCACTTCAACATACCCCACGTCCTAGGGTGACAGCGCTCACTCCCTGTACTGTATCTGTGCAGGATTACAGAACACCTCTCTTCTTATCCAAAACATTGGGGGGGGGGGAGGTGTTCTGTAGTCCTCCAAGAGAGCTGGGTGTAACTGATAAAAGCCTGTATAGGCAGAGGTCACAGCACACAAGGCTACATTCACTTGAGCCTCCTGCATTTATGTTATTTAAACACAGAGAAATAGATCTGAGAAGTGTAAACAAACTTTTTATTTTTCCACAACACTTCTTATGTGTTTATACCAAGGTTCACACTTGTTCAGGTTGGGAACCCTCACAAAATCGCACACTTTTCGGACCTGCAGGCAATACATACTGCTCTTTAGCAGATGCACGGGGCCTGCATTAATTCTTAATGGCACCACCACGCATTGGAAAACGTGTGATTTCTCGTGCCAAATGCCATGGTGCCGCAGCACGATTTGAAAAAGAACCAGGGTCATTTTTTTTTTTCTCTGCATTTCCACAGGTAGGGCAGCCTATTGAAATGAATGCGCTACCTACCTGCAGAATACAGGTTGTACACGTGTGAACCTAGAGTAAAAATATTTGCGTGTACTTGCGTTTCCATGCGTTAGATCACATTCAGTAACCAATCTGTATGTGGACAAACAAACTATTTTCTCTAAACAAAGCTACTTTAAATACAACTAAGGCTTCATACACACATGTTTGGAGGCACTAGCAGGGTATGGTGTAAAATCCTGGTGATTTCCTGCACATGGGGAGCCACAGGTGGTGCATACACTCACCCATAGAGGTGAATGGTTGTACATGCTTATGTAAACACCAGTGTTTTTTTTTTTTTTTTTTTTTTTTTTTTGCATCAGACGTATTCTCCATATTCATATGTGCGGGTAAATGTCTATGCAAAAAAGGATTGGTGTTTACATGAGTACAATCACGTACAGTCATTCACCTCTATGGGCAGCTGTATTTGCTAGTGCAGCAAATGTTAAAATACTGGAATTTCTCTGTCAGACCCTGGCTGTTCCTCCAAACATCTGTGTGAATGAGGCCTAGACACAGGTAAATGCACAGTGTGAATTATACCAATTAAAAGTATACTTGAATGCAAGTATGACATTGCAAGTGTGAATGAAGCCTTAGAAGCTCACTGGATTTATGGCAGATTGATGACTATATAAAGATATAACAAAATACTGTAATTGTTATTTTTAAAAGACTAAAAGGAAACGCAAATCTGCTCATTATTGTGGTTTACACACACTTTAAGTAATGTAAACATGTAATCTGGGGTCCTTGGATCACACATTCTCAGGGTGCCTTTTAGGGAAAAGTTGCGGTAAATTTCTCACGTTGTTGATTTCCTTCTTGCAGGAAAAGAGACAGATGTGGAGGGGACGTTGTTTGTGTATAGCAGGTGAGAATGAGATATATGTTGTATGTCATACTGTATATTACATTCTTCTAAACTTTGTAATATTTAGCCATAGAATGATAGGTCACTAAAACTCCCAGCATACTTTTCTATCCACTAACAGTATTCTGAAAGCTCCAGTTATCTGTCCTAGATAACATTCTGTATGCCCCTTAAAGTGTCACTCCACAATAAAAGTATATTTTATGCATTGGTGGATGTTGGAGAGTTAAACTACCTAATCAGATCTGATATAATAGTGACTTGTCCCCTCTTCTGAAAACAGTGCTTTGCACCACTTAGGGCCCAGTCACACTATGGCACTGTAGAAGCACATATGTAACCACACTCCGTGCACATTACATGTGTTTGTGCAGTGGCATTTGTTGGAATGGCTCCACTAACCCATCTTGCCCATGGACATGTCATAACTCAATGCAAAATGCAGCAACTCTTTACCATGTTACAGTGCACTGGCAGAAATGTTACATGCACAATTTTTGGCATCACATGTAGTGTATGTCACATATTGCTGTACACCACGTGTGCGTTTGCAGTTCACCAGCATGTTATGTGCGTTGCCACACATTGTAGTAAAGAACACAGTAATGTCATAGTGTGATTGGTCCCTAGAAAAACACTTGTGGGACCCCCCAAAAAAACACCTGTGAAACAGGTTTGAGATTTGGGATTCTGAGCATTCTAGGTGCTGTAGGCAGATGATAATAGTATATATTTTAGAGAAAAAAAAGGGGGGGGGGGCTTAATTACTTGCTCTGTGCAATGGTATTGCCCAGGTCAATCTTTTACCTCCTTTTCTGAAGTCTTGCTAGCGCTCTTTGCTGCTTTTCATGTGGGTGCTCTCATAGCAAGCTATGTGCTAGTTAGGTGCTCGTGCAGGCATGCTCCTGAGCCAGACTGTGTGTGTGTCTGAAGATGCACACAGCACAGCTTGGCCATGCCCCCCCCCCTCCTCCTTACAGATTTGACTGATAGCGACAGGAACCTTTGGATCCCACTTCTGCCTGTGTGTCCTGTGAGAGCAGAACGTGAAGAGAGAAGAGTTGCAGCCTGGACAGTGCTGGATTGCTGACAGATCTTGGATAAGTGTTTGGGGGGGGATCAGTTAGTGGGGAATTTTTACTTTAATGTAGGGAATGCACGAAGGTCAAACTTATTTGAATTAGACATAGTTGCTCCGATTCCCAGTTTCATACCCTCATACCGAAAGGAATGTTCCAAATGAGATATATATACACTGCTCAAAAAAATTAAAGGAACGCTTTGAAAACACAACAGATCTCAATTTGGAAAAATATGCTGGATATTTATACTGGTATGGACTGGGTAATGTGGTAGGAATGCAAGGATGCGCCATCATTTAATTTTCAGGATGTCTTTGCATTCAGTCCTCTGTAGGTTGATAATTTTAATTTCCATCAAAGTAAAAAAATGATGCAGCAGGCTAGTCCAAATTTCATTGCAGCAACTCAAAATGGTACTCAGTAGTTTGTATGACCCCCACATGCTTGTAGCATGACTGATGATGTCGGGGCATGCTCCTAATGAGACAACGGATGGTGTCCTGGGGTATTTTCTCCAAGATCTGGACCAGGGCATCACTGAGCTCCTGGACAGTCTGAGGTGCAACCTGGCGGTGTCGGATGGACCGAAATATGATATCCCAGAGGTGTTCTATTGGATTTAGGTCAGTCGAGCATGGGGGTCATTCAGTGGTATCAATTCCTTCATCAACTGCCTGCATACTCACGCCACATGAGGCTGGGCATTGTCGTGCACCAGGAGGAACCCAGGACCCAATGCACAAGCGTAGGGTCTGACAATGGGTCCAAGGATTTCATCCTGAAACCTAATGGAAGTCAGTGTGCCATTGTTTATCCTGTAGAGGTCTGTATGTCCCTCCATAGATATGCCTCCCCAGACCATCACTGACCCACCAAAAAAATGGTCATGCTGAACGATGTTACAGGCAGCATAACCTTCTCCAGACCCTTTCACCTGTGCTCAGGGTGAACCTATTCTCATCTGTGTAAAGCACACGGTGCCAGTGGCGGACCTGCCAATTTTGGTGTTCAATGGCAATCGAGCTCTATGGTGCTGGGCAGTGAGCACAGGGCCCACTAGGGGATGTGGGGCCCTCAGGCCACCCTCATGTAGTCTGTTTTTGATTGTTTTGGTCAGAGACATTCACACCAGTGGCCTGCTGGAGGTCATTTTGTAGGGCTGATGGATTAAGACCTTCTATGGCCCTGTCTAGCTCTCCAAGAGTAACTGCCTGTCTCCTGGAATCTTCTCCATGCTCTTGAGACTGTGCTGGAAGACACAGCAAACCTTCTGGCAATGGCACGTATTGATGTGCCATCCTGGAGTTGGACTGCCTGTGCAACCTCTGTAGGGTCCAAGTATCGCCTCATGCTACCAGTAGTGACAATGAGCCTAGCCAAATGCAAAACTAGTAAAAAACAGTCAGAAAAGATGAGTAGGGAAACAAATGTCAGTGGCCTCCACGTGTAAAACCATTCCTGTTTTGGCGGTCACCTCATTATTGCCCATCTAGTGCACCTGTTGTTAATTCCATTAACACCAAAGCAGCTGAAACTGATTAACAACCCCCTCTGCTACTTAACTGACCAGATCAATATCCCAAGAGTTGACTTGATGCTATATTCTGATTAAAAAGTGTTCCTTTAATTTTATTGAGCAGTGTATATTATATATAAATCCTGGACTTGAATAAAGAATTTATAATAGCTGTTAGAATTTAGAATCACTTGAATTTATTTTCAATGTCACGTGCCCGTAGATCTGCATCTCCGAAACATGGCTTCACTATTATGAACCGGCTGAGTATGGAAAACCGCACAGAACCTATAACAAAAGATCTGGACTTCCAGCTACAGGATCCCTTTTTGCTGTACAGGAATGCCCGATGTGAGTATGGGACCTGTTTGTGGCCTTGTTCTAGTTGTATATAATTAAAGCGTTACTAAACACTCAACCATAAAAGCAGTCAGTATATGCATTAAAACATGCTTGTTATACTTACTATGGAATCTAAGGGGTTAATCATCTGCATTGTGCAAAAAGGCTGTTTGATCCAGTCTTCTTTGATCCTCCTCTTTTTTTGTTGTCCCCAATCCATCTGCCATAATTAGAGCAGCAGTGGCAAGTGTGCACATGGTCTGTTTGGTGTGCATTGCTAGAGAGGGTGCATATGATCATATGATCAGCACAGGGCCAATCGGCACTCTCCAGACAGAGGGTCAGGGGTTATGCAGCCTCGTAGGACAGTCAGAGGGAAATGAAACTCCTTCTACAAGATTAACCAGTGCTTGGCTGGACAGTGATAGAAGTCACAAGATGGTTATATATTGCTGGTGAGAAAAGGTATTTAGCAGTATACATTTACTAAAGTAATTGCATTTCCATGTTCTTTGTACTGTATAAGACCGGATATAGTGAATGCAGGCTCCTGGGTTTAGTAACACTTTAACCCTTTGAGGACCGTAAGATTTTGGAACGCCAAAAGAATCAATTTTTTTGTTTTTAAAGTTCGTACACTTCAGTTGCTTGTAATTAAGCCATTTCATGAAATAATTGGCAAAAAGCTAGATCCATTTGTTGTTTGTTGATAAGAACTAAAATTTTGACTCAAACCAAAAAAAAAAAAAAGAGTTTTAAGTTCTTAATCAGATGATACACGCAATTAAAAACATGGGACAAATACGTCCCTAGGTCCTCAAAGGGTTAAGGAGTCATATCATGATCTATTTATGGGTTGGAGATGAAAAGAGAAGTTGTTCTGTTGTTGAACAGGGAAGAATTGGATGGGGGTGACAATGCTGTTTGGGATTTCACTGCAGCAGAGGAAGCATTGTTAGTTCACTACAGGAAGTTTGGAGCATACTGAATTTCTGGCAGAGCAAGAGGTATTTTTCTGTATTTGCAGCATTGTTAAAGGGCTAAATCACAGCGAAAAATGTATGTCTTGCAGAGATGCACTGCCGTGTTTTTATTTTGCCTTGACATAAACTGAGCATTCTGTAGTCTAAAAATCCTTTTTTAATTTCAATCTTTTGTATTGTAGTAGAGTACAACATGTATAGGAATGTAAATTCCTCACTGGAGGGTTGGCATTCATGCACACAGACTTTAAAGTGGTAGTGAACTGAACAAATAAAAATCCGCTGACATGCAGGGCTTCTGTCATAAATCAACCCCCTGCCCATCAATGGGTAATATGATCTGAGTTCCACATGTGCATCTCAAGCTACCTTTACAGCCCAGTCATGCATGACGCGGCAATGTGTATGACTCCCGTGTGTATGCGCGGGAGTGACATCACCTCAGCCCAGCCATTAAAGTGGCTGAAGATAGGAAACATGGAAGGAAGACTGGGTGAAGATGGTAGCCGCCGAAGACCACAGAGAGCCATGATGGCACAGTGCTGGAGGGTTCTGTGTGTAGGCAAGTCTGTCATATTGTACTAGTCTGTGGTGCATATTAGTATATTATGACTTAAACCTACAGGGGGGCCCTTTTTTTTTTTGTTTTTTTTTTGTTTTTTTTCTGTTTTTTTTTTTTTGTTTTGTTTTTTTTGTTTAATGCCATGACTTCACTACCACAACAAAGAAAATGGGAACAGGCCGGATTTTTATTGCAGAAGAAACCTACTATGTTTCTTCTGCACTAAAGCTTCTTACCTGCCTGTTCGCACATGCAGCTAAATAGAATGTTGGTATTGCTGAGATGACTAAACTCCTGTGCCTGCGCGGAAGTGACATCATCTTGGCCCAGCCAATGGAAATGGCCAGGAATCAATACCCAGAAGCCAGCGAGCTGAAGGTGTCAGCAGCTTGAGAGGAGCTCCGGGCCATTGCAGACCTGGGAGAGAAGGTGAGTATACTTGCACTTTAAATCAGGCATATACAGTAGGCATACAGCATAAAATATGCCTTTAATTGCAGCACCCTGAAGCCCCAGCTGGTGCGTGATTCTGCTTATAGGACGGGATTGACAGAATACATTGTATGTGGTTATACACCTGTGTATACACACACACACACAGAGTACTTTACATTTTAGATGCGCTCAATTATGGTTGTCATTCTACGTCTGTACGCATGCGTGTATATATTCCCCTGAAAATGTACTGTAACAGTGCAAATTAATAATATCGTATACTATAATCAACTGTGTTGTGACATAAGTGTGTTGTAATCCAACAAGGGGGAGGAAGGTGGGTGTCTAAGGGCAATAAGGAAGGCACACTTGGTAGATTTTTTTTTTTTTTTTTAAATGATCCTGGGATCAGCTGCGACATCTTCCACTCACAGGATCTCTTTACAAAAGACAATCTCTGGATGATTAATGACAGGTTGTCATCACAGAGAATGCACAGCAGAGATCTCCACCACTGTCTATGTACATACAACACCTCCTCATCCATCTAGCAACCATGTTCTAACTATTGATGTAGAAATTATCCTTTTCAAAGTCGGATCTTGACTATGAGCTGTGCTGATCCCTTCTCCCCCACACTCCCCCTTCAATTAGCCGCCTCTAATTGTGTGTTGGATTTGTTACTGTTTAGACACAGGCCTAATGACTTGTTCAGGTTGTCATAGTACTGCAATCAAATCCTATGATATTGAAACATTTATGCAGAAAATTTTTAGAGACATCACTGAGATGATGGGTTTAATAAGAGACCTAAAGTAGATATAAACCCAATAACTAAAATCTCATAAAAACTTTAATATGTTAATATCTTTTCAGAAGTTCATTTACCCCTGCAGTTTTTATTGTAATGTCTGGTAATCCTGCCATGAAGGTCATTTCCCGTTATAGTGTGATAACACTCCATTTTCTTTCCTTTGTACACCTGCGCTGTGAACCGGTCAAATAGACATAAACTGACATAGAGATTAAAAGTGGACATTTCACCACACATTACACAGGCATTATTATTATTATTATACAGTATTTATAAAGCGCTAACAGTTTGCTCAGCACTGTACATTACAAAGGGGGACAGAACATGCGACAGTACAGTAACAATACAATGCAAACCACGAGGGGTTCGATGCATGGTCCATTCCTTGACCTTCCCTGAGTTCATGTTCATGATATGCTTCAAAAAATGAAATAAGGTGAAAATGGGATTTTATTAAAATGAATGGCAATTGTTTATGGTACACAATACCAGTCAGCTAGGGTTTATATCTACTTTAATGAGAAACTTCAGTTGTTTCGAGGGGTGTGTGCATCTGTGTGTGGGGGCCTCCAGTGACCTCTATACATTGCAAGGATTTTTGGAAATGTCACTGCATATTTATGCCTGCTCCTGTTCTGAGTAAACAATGCAAGGCTTACTATAGCCCTTACCAAACCAAACAGACTAGTTTGAGGGGATCTTCCTGTATTCTCACCGTCTGTGTAGTAGCTCCAGCATTACTTTAAATGTGCAAGGGTCTTTGAATGTATATGGTCAAAAATATCTTTGTGTGCAGGAAATGCCTTTTTTTTATTTGTCTTTTTAAGTTCTGTTATGATTTCTGGGAAGTGTGTCAATCACAGCGGCAGGAAGAAAAATTTCTCATTTGTGAAAGCTTATGGCAAACATAGCTGCTTAACTTTACAAGTAGAGGGAGGGGCTGTTTTACATGTAACTAGGAATGCCATTGTCATAATGGTGAATTAACCATTCAATTTTTTTTTTTTTTTTTTTTTTTTTTGAGTTTCAACTTTGGTCTTATAAATGAGTTTTATTTCAATGACATTATTAGCCACCAGTACCACTTGGTTGAGTTTGTAAAAGCAAACCCTAAGCACATATAAAATACAAAAATGAATGCAAATTGCAGCCAATATAGATAAAAACATATTACTTGCTATTAGCCCCTTGCAGTCACTGTACAGCAGAGTTTAGGCTGGGAGAGGGGGAAGCAGCACCAGGGGCCAATCAGTTGTGCTGCAGTGCTTATATTCTAACACAGGACATGCTGATAGGAGGAGAAAGCAAAGTGACCAAGAGATGAGTGCATCAGTCTGCTACTTATTCTTTTACTATCCAAGAATAGGCTGGGGGAGAGACAAAACCTGTAAGTGTTACTGAACGGCAGCAAAAAAAAATCCAGTCTCTTGCCCAGTTAGACAGAACTGTGCTATGGGTAGAACTGTTTAACCTCCCTAGCGGTCTGATTATGTCAGTATTTCTGTGCTCAAAGTGGTACATTTTTTTGCGTGGAAATATGTATTTTTTTATTGTAGGCCTGTCATTTTTAGGAATAACTCACTGAAATCTGTCTGAACAAGTGTCTAGTAAACATCCCGGGTATGCTTAAAATTTGAAACGCAAAATTATAATTTAATAAATGATCATAAAAAATAATATAATAAATTTAATTCAATAATATGATCAAACCAAAAACGCTGAAATTTTAAATAGAGCGCCAAGTTCGCACATCACTGAGCAAAGTCGCAAAATCATTTTCAGTGTCTGATGACAAATTTCCCCACGAATCATTATCACTCAATTCTGCAAGTGATTCTAATTTACTATCGCTGTTCTCTAGCCGGTCTAAAACAACTTTTGACCAAAAGGGACGCTTTTTGGACGCCATGGACGTTTCTCAGTTTCCAGGCAGAAAGAACAGTAAAAATGCAGGCAGGGCACAGGACAAAGCACTCGGGACAAAATGTATGTGAAATGCTTTGATACAGTAATGTTTTACTATGTGATTTTAGTGTATTTAGTGAATGTCACTTTTTCACATTTTTTAATTTCCCGCCGTTCCGTCCCCCGTACGTCCTGATGTCGCAGGGAACGGAACCCAGAAGACAGATGCCGGCATCGGCCTGAGGACATTGCCGGGGACACTGCAGGAGGGACATCGCGGGAGCGAAGGACAAGGTAAGTGCAGAAGAGG